ATCCATCACTGTCTTCAGAAGGTCAAACAAATGAAGATGAAACAATGTACTACTAACTCACCTATAGTTTATTGTATGTAGAGCATAACCCAAAGTAGAGGTAATTAAAATCCCAGTCTCCTTCCTATGACTTTGGTTATCTTATAAAACAGAATCTTCAGTTTCTTTATTAGATTACAAGGTGCATTTAACCTACAATATACCTTCAGTTTAGTACCCTTTGTACCATGTTTGGAACTGAAGTGTGGGCAGTGTTACATGTCATGATTTGAAGACAAACTAATATCCAGACAGAAGAAATACAAAGCATGGGGGGGAGAGATTTAGGCCAATGAAATAAGTATACAGAGAGGAGTAAAACAAATGATTTCAGGCTAAATGTGTTTCTTAAGGGTGTTTTTTGTTGTTGTTTTTTTGGTCACAGACCCCTTTGAGAATCTGATGAAAGTCCTCTCCCCAGAAAAATACACATAAACACAAACACACACACAATTTATTCTATCGCAGTAGAAAAATCTTGTGTATGCTCAGTCCACAGACCTCTTGAAGCCTATGGGGTCTATGGGCCACAGGTTAAGAACCCCTGGTCTGAACCCTCGGTTGAACAGCCTTCTACAAGCTAGGGCTCCCCCCAACCGATGTTTTATCAACAGCAACTTTGATAAACCCCAAGTGGTATGGCCTTGCTGGCTGAGGCTGATGGAAGTTATAGTCCAAAACATCAGGAGGGGAATCAGTTTTGGGAATGCAGAACTAGAAGAAGTAGCACTTAATGGGAAGTCGGGTGTGGGGGAATGATTTCTGGTATGTGCATGAAATTAGTAGATTAGGTAGGTGCACAGAACTCGGGAACCATAATGAGGGCAGCAGGGTTAGAAGTAGGGTAGCTTGGGTATGGGTAATAACCCTTTTCAGTAGTTAAACTTCTGAGGGCTTCATGATTGGTGGGCCAGAGGCAAAAAGTGGGTGGGGCAAAGAATGTGATTCTTATCTTGTATAGTGGGCTAAATTCAAGCCATGAAAAAGTTAGTGGTTTCTTCATACACATGTATGTGCCTGCCCCTTCTCTCTATTCAGGCAAGCAGAAGACACCATCATAGTTCAAGGACACATTTGAGCAGGCCAAAGCAGAGTCCCTAGAGCAGGGCTAGTAAGAGGACATGACTTAGAGATTTTAAGAGCTGGGTTCAGTCCCTGGGCCTGACGTTGCCCTATTATTATTATTATTATTATTATTATTATTATTATTATACCCTGCCCATCTTGGCTGGGTTTCCCCAACCACTCTGGGCAGTTTCCAGCACATATAAAAACATAATAAAATGTCAAATCAACATTTCAGACAATTCATTTGCAATTCATTACAAAACCTATCAGCAAAATCATAGCAGTAGGTATTTGTACTTGCAAGATTGGTATAGACACAATACTGGGGAGATTTTCAACATGCCTAAAGAGATCAGAAACTGGATACAGGATATTGTTCTCTCCCCTTCTCACTCTTCTTTCTTAACTAGAGCTATAACAGATGTGCATCCACAATAGTTAGTGTTAACAGGGAAATGTTAAGCAGGGATTCACCTTAACCAAAACCTGAAATCAGATTTTGGACACTGGTAGAAATCCTAGCCAATTGATTAAATTAGTGAATTGATAATACAACCAAATATTTGGAAGAAGTGCTGGCACATAGGCGTTGTAGCAGGCTTTAATGAGGAGGCATTCCTCCTGTTTGAGAAATATATTTCTTTTTAATCTCTTGTAAGAACTTAATTATGTATTTATTTTTAAGAACAGATGTCCAAATAAAAAAACCCTTAATTTAATAATGGAACTTAATTTTTTAAAGGAAAACTGGGTATCAGGCTGGGGGGGGCATGCAAATCTTTTTGGGGATGGGTCATAGCTTGGTGGTAGAACATCTGTTTGGCATGTAGGTTCCAGCTTTCATGCACAGCATCTCCATTTGGGGCTGGGAGAGAAACCTGCCTGAAATCGTCGAGAGACACTGCTAGTCACTTTAGACCAAACTGAGCTAGAGGAACCAATGGTCTGACTTGGTATAAGGCAGATTGCTATGTTCCTATGCTGTATTTTCAGTATGGATGTTACATCTAACTTGTAGTGATTATATGGAGGAAAGCATAGTTGTCTCCAATGGCTGTATCATTTTCAGTAGTGTTAGGGTTATTATTTCATTCTAACAGAAATTCTTAATATCACAGTTTGTCTCCATTTCTACCTTACAGAGTCTAAAGTTTTCCCCCTTACAGTAACATGTGTGAGTGATAAGGTTTTTTTTTAACCTTCTTAATTATATTTTCAGAATGTAATTGTGTTTGTCCTTTGCTCTACATAAATACATAAACCAATACATAATAATGCGAGCAGCTGAATAATTCTAAGCATTAAAATTGAATAGTGTAAGAAGTCACAGTCTTTATGCCAATGGTATTGAAATGCTCCTTTGATGTGACATGCAGCTCTGCTATGACTAGCTTCTACTACCATTGGGGAAAGGACAGGAGACTTTTAACACTGCAGATGAATAGGATTATCAAAAGACTTTAAATGTAAACCAACTGTTAGGAGTGTAGCTTTAAAATTAAGGGCTAAAATATGAAGACTCCAGCTAAAAGTTCTTTAGCTGCTGATTAGGATTCCCTGATGGTGATTAGTGAGTGTGGAATGCAATCATGCCTCTAAGCTTTAATCAATCCCATGATGGAGAAGTCAGTTGCTCAAAGAGAGACCAAATTAATACATGTATTGTTTCTATTGGGCTTATTATTTTTAACACTAAAAAAAAAGAAAGTAGGCAAATTTGTGATGAAGTATTTCGGAGCATGCAGAATTTCAACAATCCAGAAGCATGTGAACTTTACTACCAAATATTATGTCTGTCTTTATCCTAAGAATGTTTTATTTTACATTGTACAACATTCTGACATGTCTTTTGTGTTGTGTTGTGTGAGCAATTAATCTCACTGTGCAGTAACCCAAGACCTTTTCAAATAGCAATTTTCCTTGTGTAAGTATTTCAAATGTTGAGAGATCTCCATTTTTATTTACATAACCACCTCTCTGTGTATATATGTAAAGTCATGTATTTCTGTTATTAAGATGCCTGTGCTAAAGTCAGGTGACCCAACAATATGACCATGCTTTTGCTGCAGACCATGGAACTAGCACAGGGGTCAGCAACATTTTTCAGCCATGGGCTGGTTCACCGTCCCTCAGACCATGTGGGGGGCCAGACTACATTTTGGAGGGGGGGGTGAACGAATTTCTATGCCCCACAAATAACCCAGAGATGCATTCTAAATAAAAGCCCGCATTCTCCTCATGTAAAAACACCAGGCAGGCCCCACAAATAACCCAGAGATGCATATTAAATAAAACGACACATTCTACTCATGTAAAAACATGCTGATTCCCGGACCGTCCACGGGCCAGATGAGAAGGCGCATGGGCTGCATCTGGCCCACGGGCCTTAGGTTGCCTACCCCTGAACTAACATCTCAAATGCAGATTCCAGAAGCTTGAGCACAATTATAAGAACAACAGTTTTCACTATAAGGGAAGGCCTTCATGTTTCATTGGGGTGGGGGTAAGCCAAGTTCAGATCTCCTTGTCCTTAGAAACAACTTTTCCCTTCCTACTTCCTCATGTGTTCTGATCTATTATCCACCATGCAATCATTGCTATTATTATATAATTATTAGTATGTATGTATGTATGTATGTACGTGTTGCCTTTATGTGCCAAGATAATGCATAGTTTCAAACAATATTAGAATAAACAAATGATACAAAATATCCTTAGGCAACTTCAGGAACTGATGCCACAAACTCCCAGACCTTGCATACAGCTTCCCTCAGAGCAGACAGCTCCTAAGGAAGGTGGGAGAGGGATAATAACATTACTAATAATAGCAATTTATACATTTAAAAATATTCAGAACTGCCCCTTCCAAATTGCAGTAAAATTAAGCATTTGCATACACTGTGCAAATTTACTCAAACTGCAGAATAATTTTAAAGGCATTTTTCCAGATTTGCCGCAGAAATCCATTCTTGCCGACCACTGTGTGTTTGGGCTGCAAATTTATTCTTGCTTACTTAGAAGAAAGGTCCACAGAACTCATTGGAGTTAATTATTTATACTGCATTTCTAAAAGTTTGATATGTAGCTTTTCTGAGTTCAAATGCAGCTTACACATTGCAATTCAAAAACACAATCTGTTATATTCAACTAAGTCATATTCAGAGTAGACCAGTTGTAAAAAACCGAACTTGGTAGCTCAAGTTACTTAGGTCCATAGATTTCATTGAGTCTGCACTGAATATGACTGTTGGAAATCACCCAGTATCAATAAAACTTCTTTTAGAAACCTAAAAAAACTTACAGCATGCCATAATACGAAGCAGCAATTTATAGAGAACAGGTGAAGAAAAAGGTCTGCCAAGTCAAAGAGAGGCTTGCTTATGTAAAGCTCACTTGATTTACCTTCAAGCACCTATGCAGAGAGTTGAGCTGTTCTTGTACAGTTAAACTAGGGCTGTGATCGCTGGCATCCCTAGCCCCTATTTCCTGTTGATGAGCAAAAACTATAGAGGTTGTTTGAAACTTTGATCACCTTTTGTCTGATTTGGATAAACGTCCACTTTACGTTGTTGTTTTTGCCTGGCTCTACTACCTTGTATTGATTACTGAGTGATGCTGAAAATGTATGTTTGTAACAGCTGTATTAAGGCATTCTTAGTGGCCGGGAGGAGAATTCTCAGTGATTTCTTTGTATAACTTTGAAGCAGCCTTGATGGTGGAATGAGTATAATCCAAGTGAATAACTTGCCGGACCCATCATTCAGTTCGCCTTATGCTGATGCATAGGGACATATGAGCTGATGCATTGCTAAGATATGCTGCACTCCCTTGCAAAATTCCATAGCATCTGCTTAAGGAAAGTAACAACTCTGTTATTTTGTTTCTGTATTCAGAAATACTGCAGCACTATCCAGCTGGATTCCGGAATAGACTATAGGAAACAAGCACTACCAGCAGCAGGAAAGCTATATTACCTGTAAGTTGTTAAAGATAAAGGTATTTTTCTTTTCTTTTTCTTTCCTTCACTAGCCAATATGTCTTGCCACAGGGGCAAGTAAAAACACTCCCCCCACCCCACAAAACCAAACAAATGCCAACTATCTTCTGTTTTGCCACAGTGCTAGTGCCATCAGATGGCATTTTCAGTATCTTCAGTTACATCGTTTAAAATGTGTGACTGAATCAAAACTAATTAGATTTTGGGGGGAGGTGTGGTGTTTGCAGAACTGAAGTGACAGATGGTTATAAAGCAATGAATATCCTCTTGTAAAAGAGTGTGCAATTCCCTGGTAAATAAAAGAGCATCCTTTATTGTAGTAAACTAATTATTTATACAAATCCTCTGACAAGGACTCATTTACTGTTGGGTGTTACCATTTGTGGATTGAAAAACTTGTCTTATTTTGACAGATGATCTGCTTGTATCTCGGATGTTGATTTCCTTCAGCATTTATTCTCTGTTTGAAGATGATAAAAAATAATACCATAATACAGCTATAAGTACAATTTATCTGTATAGCTTTGATTTCTGTTTCCCTAATGATAGTTTACCCTCAGAGCAATTTGAGAATACAAGTATATGTGATGCAAAGTTGTTCCAACATTTAAGAAGAGAAAGTGGTTTTAATCAAGCCAATACAAGTACAAATCTACTTGTAGCTTTATTATGGCATTGTTTTTTTTAATATTATTTTTGAGGAGTTTAAATAAGGACTGGGCTTTCCAGCTAGCAAAATGATTAGCCCCAGTCTAGGACTATAATGGGAGTGTACCATTTAGTTCATAATCCAGGGGTAGCACCTTGTATATAATTTTTGGGTGAGTTTTATACTCAGGATTGCCAGAAACTGGATATGACCTGAAGTTTTAGGTTTTAACCTTATTCTTAGGCTTCTGGGGAAGGAATAAAATATTGGAGTTAGGGACTTGTTAATTAAAAGTTACTGAGCATTGCTTCCCATCCTGAGTAGGAAAAAAGAAATTTCACTTCACATAGTGGGTTCAAGGCCACAATTAGTGCTGGCAATACTAACAAATGATTTTGAAATACTAAAATTTTATCTTTTAAGGGAGAAACAATTTATTTTCTCATATTGTGGTAGAATTCATGTATGTTGATATTGTGTTAAGCTTGGACTGCATTGAATGTTGATTGGTACTTCTATAGAAACGTGGTTTTTCCTCCTGCAAATCTGGACTGAGCATCAAAGGCCTTGGGCAAAATTTGCCTGTTTCACCCATAAACAGAGTTCCCACTCCACATCTATAAAGAGAGGTGCTAGGTAATGTTATGGGGATGGATTTCTGCTTCTGGCATTGCTACATTTTGAGCTAAAGGTATATATATGGGAGCAAGGGCAGAAGAATCCCACAGTGTCTAACTTATATTTCAGGGCCTTCTCTCCTAGTGGGCAAGATGAGATACTAATGGATTGCTAATGGTGAGGCACCATCCTTAGTACAGTGGTACCTCGGGTTACAGACGCTTCAGGTTACAGACTCTGCTAACCCAGAAATAGTACCTCGGGTTAAGAACTTTACTTCAGGATGAGAAAAGAAATCAAGTGGCAGCGGCGCAGCGGCAGCGGGAGGCCCCATTAGCTAAAGTGGTACCTCAGGTTAAGAACAGTTTCAGGTTAAGAATTAAGTTCTTAACCCAAGGTACCACTGTATACATATTTGCTGGCATTGTACTTTTGCCTGAATTCACAAAGGGCTGAGTCAAAGATTGCAACAAGTTGAAATGGAACAGCTGTGGTCTGTCTGAAGGATTGAAATGTGGGATATATATATATATATATATATATATATATATGCAGGTTTTGGTGTCCTCGGGTGTCTTCCCGTGTAAAAGTTGGGGTGTCTAGGCGACGTTTCGACGAGGTCTCACTCGTCATCTTCAGGCTGGTGCTTTCGGCTTCTTGTTACTGGAACAGAGCAGGATCTCAGTGTTTGAGTTCCTATAAATACTGTTGAGGGGGTGTGGTGTATAGCCTCCAATGTTCTGGGCAGAGAGGAAGTTCCCAGGCTAGTGTGCCTATTCTTCTTTTGTTCCTTAATTACTTGAGGGATATCTTGAGTGATTTCTTGAGTGATATTCTGAGTACCATTTAGGTGGGTCATTAGGTGTGGATTAGTTGCTCAAGCCTTCGTGTCTTGACCTCTTGAACTTTGTGAAAAGTTTTTCTGAGAAGATGGCTGTACTGCACTTAGTTGTGCTTTGGCTTGGCTTCGGGTATAGGGGCGAGCTGTGGTTTTGTGCCTTGTGCCAGTCAGATCTGTGTAGGGATTGCAGGGGGGTGCAGCATCCGGAGGTGCCACCATGGTTTGGCTACTGGATGGTGTCTGTAATTTATCTGTGGAGAGGGTCTGGGTTTGGGTCTGGTGTGGTGGAGACCCTCTCCACAGATAAATTACAGACACCATCCAGTAGCCAAACCATGGTGGCACCTCCGGATGCTGCACCCCCCTGCAATCCCTACACAGATCTGACTGGCACAGGGCACAAAACCACAGCTCGCCCCTATACCCGAAGCCAAGCCAAAGCACAACTAAGTGCAGTACAGCCATCTTCTCAGAAAAACTTTTCACAAAGTTCAAGAGGTCAAGACACGAAGGCTTGAGCAACTAATCCACACCTAATGACCCACCTAAATGGTACTCAGAATATCACTCAAGAAATCACTCAAGATATCCCTCAAGTAATTAAGGAACAAAAGAAGAATAGGCACACTAGCCTGGGAACTTCCTCTCTGCCCAGAACATTGGAGGCTATACACCACACCCCCTCAACAGTATTTATAGGAACTCAAACACTGAGATCCTGCTCTGTTCCAGTAACAAGAAGCCGAAAGCACCAGCCTGAAGATGACGAGTGAGACCTCGTCGAAACGTCGCCTAGACACCCCAACTTTTACACGGGAAGACACCCGAGGACACCAAAACCTGCATTCCTGTACCCGTGAAAATCTACGAAAGCATATATATATATATATATATATATATATATATATATATATATAAAATTAGGGGAATATATATATATATTAGGGCAATTTTTCTGTGTTTGGTTCCATAGTCCCAGTCCTTAAAACTACTAGCACTTTTTACTGCACAAAAGAAGTTTATTATAACATTTTTGCATTCTGTATCCAGACTAAGTCCAGTTTAAACATAAAGAACCATAAGAAGAGAGACCAGGAGTCTCTAACAATCGTTAACACCTAGACAGCAAAGCAAGCAAATACATATGCCACATGGTCATAGTATTTCCCACTATAGTAATATGTATTGCATTTCTATTTAAATTATAGTAAATGGGTGATGTCTAGCTGAATCCCTTTGAGAGACTCTGGAGCAGACTTGGGAAAGGTGTCAGGGGAAGGAAAGGAAAGGAAAGGCCCATTGCACAAGTAGACTTCTGCTCATGCAACACAGAGTATCAACCTATAATTCTAAAATGGTATATAAACATATAAATTACCACTATATGCGAATTTTATGCAAATCTGCTTCCTCTTTTGTACTTTTTGGATGGTTATGCGTAAGTGGCTGCTTCAATCATTGCTGAAAATTTCCTGTAATTTCATAATCTTTGGGCATCTCAAATTATTTGGAGAAGGATTTTAGATATGTCAAAACTAATTATATACAGTATGATCCTATACATGTTTACTTTTAAGTAAAGCCCACTGAATTTAGTGGGACTTATTCCTAGGTAAGAGGGCATAGGAATGCAAACTTTATTCTAGAAAATGTCAGATCAACACATTACATTTTATTTGTATCTATTTAAACCTGTGATAAAATAATATTTACTTCAGATATAATTTCACTGCACCCTCTTAGAGGTTTGTAAGGCTTCCCCTTCAGATGCTTGCTAGCTTTTGCTTCCTTGCTCTCATTTTGTGTGCGAGGTATAGACAAAAGCTTATCTTTCTCACTCTATCTGTGTGTGTATGCATTGTTGGCATCTGTCTGTCTCAAGAGACAATGGAACAGTGCACCATTGAGAGTAAGTCAAAGCATTGGGCAGTTATGGTGCCTGCTGTGGCTGTAGAGACCAACATGGGAGAGACATGTTTCATTGCAGGTGGGGCAAATGAAGGCGTCCAGTTTTGCTGCTACTGATGCACCACGGGGTTTCTTCTCTCTGCTCTCCTCCCAGAGTGTGTGTGTGTGTATCTATCTATCTATCTGATGGTCTGGCCTGGCATTGCCTCATTACTGGAAACAGCTTGAAACACAAAAGTCTTCCTATGTATGCAAATAAAGCAGAATCATCTACCTGAGAGTTAATGTTCTCTGCTTTTAAGTGTATTCTAACTCTAATGTTTGTATTTACAACATAACATCCTGTTCTGTCTTTCTCACTCTCTCTCCTTTTTTATGGGCAAAAAGCTAAGCAAGCTCAGGCAGCTGTTTGATGTTGGCTTCAAGTGTTATTAATTTCATATTCTATTATTCTTTTCACTGTAGCACAAGTGAAGCTGATGTGGAGGCTGTCATGGATAAGTTGTTTGATGAGCTGGCTCAAAAACAAAATGATTGTACGTAAGTTAATTTCTCTTGAAAGAGAATACATTTAGAACACAATGCCCAATCTCCACTGACCAATTAATAAGTTCCACTGCTGTATATGGGTTGATGCCACACTCAAGTGGCAGTCATTGTATCAGCATTTTGTCTAATTTATGTGTTGAATCATGTGCTATTATTCATCAAGCTATGCATTTCCTATCTGTAAGAGATGAGTTTTGTAGTAATTATCCAGACAAGATTGAGTCTTTGTTCATGTTCCCATAGTAACTAGACCAAGGATTTTAAAAGTACAAGGCAGAGAGCTGAGAGTGAATAAAGCGTGTGGAACCATTGCAGACTTCACATTTGAAGAGCTGTGTGACAGAGTGAGTACCCAGTCAAGCCTAGATCAGTTGGGCTTTTCAGGCTCCCCCCCCTTTTTTTATTATATTATCCCAGCTCCAAACAAGCTTTGAGATATCCTTTGAACCTACAACAACAACAAGAAAACTTGAATTCTAGAGTTGAAAAGTAAAACTGAAAGGGTGAAAAAAAGCATAGCACAATCAGTTTCTCTTGAAAGTGATCTCTATGATAAGCAATTTAAATGTGTGAATAAAATTCTGGAACTTGCTAAGGTACTAGTGTCCAAAAGAAATTCACATCTAGATGACAGTTGTTAAATGCTGATCACTTAGGTAAGGAGCACAAAGAATAAAAACTTCCTTTCAGAAGCAGACCAAAGGTCCATCTATCACATGTCTGCAATGGTGAATTACATTTGATCTATCCTAGCTGTTTTCACTTACTTCCAGTGAGACAAAAGATAAGACTTCCATCTAAATACCTTTTCAGCCAAGGATTCACATGATGCCCTTTGAATTACTACTCCATGGTGACTTTCTGTGAGACCCTAGAGAATATTCTTTAAGAAAATACCCATCTGTACCTGTACTGAGAATGTAGAGCTGCCAGCCAGGTAGCTTACTAAAGAAGCCTGTTGCCTTGATCAAGGGCAAAAGCTGTTCAATGGTTGTCTTACCTACTGTGACTTTATAGGTGGGAAGTGGGATGATAATGCATATCCCAAAGTAATAGAATTGGGGATATATTATTACCCCTTACAGAATGCCCGGATATATTATTACCGCTCAGCAGAATGCCCAGGGGGATCTTGAGATGGACAATGCATCTAAACAATTAGGCATCTAAAAGGATAAAGTGTTGTTGTAATGAGTGTCTTAAATTACTCTCACATTGACTGTGGGTAGATTCATGTTCTGGTCACAACACAAACGTAAAAAAAAATTTGGTTGTTGTTTAGTCGTTTAGTCGTGTCCGACTCTTCATGACCCCATGGACCAGAGCACATATAAAAGAAATCTAGAAAACCCTAACTCACTCTGCCCTAAGACAGCTGGTGATGGAATTGATGAGAGGGGAGTTTCAAGTGGTGCCCAGGACCAGATGGAAGGCAGGAAATGTGCAGTTGAACTGATGGGGAACAGTGATCATAGTGCTATCAAATTTAACATATGGACAATTGCCAGAGAAGTCCAACATGATTGCACTTGACCTCAGAAGCAGGGGGGAAATGAGGTAGAGCTGCATTGGTGAAACCAGCCACCTTCTGAGTCTCTCCCCCCTCACAGTCCTTCCTCTGAAAACAGCTCCCTTATAAAGGCTCCTAGGGCTGGAGGGTGGGGCAAGGCAGGTGGAAAAAACCATTAGCTGCTCGATATTGTATCATTGGGGAAAGTGCGGAAAAGGGCTACCAGAATTATCACTGAGTTGGAACAACTCTACCATGATGAAAGGTTATAATCTTTTGGGATTTCAGCTGAGAAAAAAAGCCAAGTAAGAAGGAGGGACTCCTGTTTAATTCTTTGGCCATTGGCCTGTAGGACCCCTCAGGACTAATAATAATAATGCCATTAACTCACGCTAACTTAGAGTGTAACTTTGGGTCAGCACAAAAAACAAATGCTCTTCTAGTAAATGTGTTGGTGCAAGTCATTTTCCTTGGTCAGACAAGTAGGCAATGAAACATGATTGTTGCCTTTTGTGGTAAAATAATAAAATGGAAATTTAAGAGTTTAGTCCTATGCATTTGCATTCAGAGATGATTACAACCAAATTCAGTGGGGCTGGCTTCTTAGTTAGTGCAATTAGGATTACATGCTAAATTCTAAACATTACAAAATTATTTTTAACAACAATTCAAGCCCCAGAAATGTTCAGATGGCAGTATTTAAAACTGAAGAAGATGAACTCTACATACAGATTGTGAAAATGAGTTGGTAGTTATTTATAGTCTGAACACAAACTCATAAAAGTCTAATTAACTTTGAAATGGAATATGGTGTTTCTTTCATTCCTAGGTCATTCAAGGCCAGCCCTACCTTCATGCATGACCACCCACTTGATTTAGACATAGTGGTTGAATCATGCCCCAACACCCCCCCCCACATGGATTAGTCCATATGCATTAGACTGCAACATAGAATAAATCTTGTAGGTTTCATATTTGCAGTTACATATACTTGTGGCACTCAGAGCTTTAAACAGTGACAAATCTCAGCGGACTGATTTGCACATAATGATTTAGCACCATGTGCATGATCTGGAAGGAGCCTGAACATTGCCTTGGGCTTGGGTGCTCCCCTCTCCTCTCCACATAAGGAAGGAAAGGATCTCGGCAGTGTCTCCTTTCAGTTTCAGATAATACTGGTGTAGCTTTATGTACAGACCTGATTTTGTGCTTTAAAAGACAGTTAAACAAGCCAGCTTCATAACCCATGGTTTGAAGTTGGCTTGTTAGAAACTTAGCACAGAGTTTCTTCTAAATGACAAAATCTGGTTCCTTTGTCACTGTCAGGATTTGTGGAATGTAAATCATACAACAGGGTCAGGAGTGTGCAAATCTGAGCTTTGATTTTATTGCAGCTCATGCACATTGCACTAAACCATTGCTTAGTACAGAGGTTGTCAATCTAGAGAACACATGGGGTCTATGTGTGAGAGTGGGAGGGTGAATATGTTTGGTCTGTGAGGTTGTATGTGTGATTTATTGAGTGTGTGAGAGAGATGTATGTTTGTCTGAGGTCTGTATGTGTGCAGTGAGTGTATTGCATGTGCATGAGAAAGTGAATATTATTTAGCCACCTTGTATGGTTTCCCTGGTACTGAAGAATGCCCCCTATTAGACAGCAACAGCATCAGTGTGTGAAAGAAAGAGAAATCAATATTGTGTGATCTCCACAGGACCAGTCAGACATGTCTGACTTCCCTTGACCAACTGAGGTTGTCTGGAGCAGGGGGTGGAGCGGGGAAGCAACAATGACTGTACTTTCTTTAATTCTGTGTTATGCCGTACCCCATGGCAATTTTTTCCCCTCCCCATGCCATGCCCCAAAGGCAGCTGTTTCGTGGCTGGTGCCCACAGTGCTATTTCAATATTCAAAAGTGTGCCACACTCCCAAACAGGTTGGCGACCTCTGTTTCAATGTTACATACAAACTACAGAGTGCTGTGAGTTCTTTGTAAGTCTAATTTATATATGTGTCAACATATTGGCCTGCTATGGGAGGAAGGATAGCATCTTGGCCAGGGAGGGCGGGGTATAAATAAAAATTATTATTGTTATTGTTATTGTTATAAATTGAATGAATAACAACAACAGCATCCCCAGAATGTATCAAGCTCAAATAATAAGCAAGTATCATGTGCAGATTTTTATGTATATTATTTCACAGCCTCTGTGTTGGTCTTAAGTTCTAGACATTGCATAGCAAATGGAAGAAGGTCCACTGCATCACGTAGAACAATTGTTTTCATTACACAGTTGCTTTTTATAGATGGCCCTGACTGTATAGCACACAGAAAGTTGTTTCACTTGTCCCTTCCCACCATCCACCTGTTTCATCCATTTAACCTTGTTTCAGAATCTAGCATCTGTGTATAATGTAAATTAATACTGACCAGAAAGGTAGGTGCAGCATAAATCTTATCTTTAATCTCCATGTTATCTATATTTCTTAATGCTTCTTTGAAAGAAAAACTTTCAGCCATGATTATGCATAGCAAATACTGCCCTCTGATGGCAATACTAACTTTTTAATGTGATTAAGGCTGTGTGCTGATGGTTCTTTCTCTGCAGCAACGGTGAACTTCGTGATCCGCTATTAGTAACTTGATAGTGGTATAGACATAATGGAGACACTCTCTAGGGGCAAAAGCCTGGTCACTCACTCTTCAAAATTCTTAGCAGCATCTTTTGGCAGTCAATGTCAGTCCTAAGGATAACTTGCACTTTTTTAGTTTAAGAGCTACATGGGCACCTATATTTATATGCACCCATCATTTGACGTACCAAAATATTTATTATTATTTTTTAAATCAATCCAAAAGTGTGGTAACCATGAAGGCAAGGGGATAGTTACTTTTATTGGACACTACTCAATAGCTGCCAACACCACACACACCGAAACCTAGAGAGAGAGAGAGAGCACAAGAGTTGTCCCCACCCCCTTCAACTCCCCCCTTTTCTGCTTCCTATTTATGTGGTTTTTTGTATTTCTAGTAACAAAAATAAAAACCTCACCTCAGAGCAAAGGGCTGTTGCTTTGCTTTTTTTTTCTTCAGAAGCAAAAAAACGGTCAACGCCATCCCCTTTGTTATGAAGTTGTGACATTCCCTCATCACAGAGGTACGTCTGGCACCTTCACTATACAGCTTTTGGTGAATGGGGAAGATGTACGGCACCTCTTTACCCTGGCTTTTGGTACCTGAGATGTGTGGGACCCACCCTTAACTCCTGTGACTGCAATATGGTTTACCTGCTTTAAATACTGAATTTTAATACTGGGACCTGCTGATGAAGGGGGGTAATAAATTTAATGATAATAATAATTAATAGAAAAATAAGGAAAATGGAGTGATTTGTTAGAGCATTACAATATAGAGACAGTTATTAAAATAACTTGAGATAATGGTAGCAGAACACTTGTTAACTTGGTAGTGAAATGGAAAAAGAGTGAAGTGGACAGCTCAGTCAAGCAGACTAAAGTAGATTAACAGCTTGGTGGGCTTGAATTGGCATGAATGTGGTTTGAGTGAGTGTGACATCAATGAAATCCTACTTCCCAGTATTAAGAATTAGTAATAGAAATCCACAGTGGTTGGTCTTCATTATCCATCTTTTACATGGCAGCAACAAGGTAGAAAGCCAAGTCATTAATCACAGACGTTGATATTAAGATAACTGTAGACACACTACAGACTTAAAGGAGTTTCCCATGAAGTCCTAGAACTATCTGAAAATTGTTTAGAGTCCTGCAGAAAGGGTCGGGAGTGCAGCTGAGATTGAGCTAGCAATAGGAAAAACACCACTGTCCGCAGAGTGGGTTTTGGTGGTCCCATCTGGTTAAAACAGAATCAGAACATTTGTTTACTACAATAGGTATGTTCATAAATAAATAAGTAAAATTAGATGTGGCTGAAGGTGTCATTGTGAGAATGAGGAATTGTACCAGGTAATCTTATTTGAAGCTTGAAGTGGAATAACATGCCCAAATACGGCACTAGCTGAAGTGCCATTGAGTATTCAAATTAAGCAAATCAGTTCTTCCTAGGGCAAGTTATGTAGCTTCAGAATAATTATTTCTTTAAAACTAGGTATTGTATCGAGGCTGCTGTTGACTGATACAGAAGCAGTAAGCTCTTCAGAAAGGTGACATTTCATAATAAATTATACGAACATAGACTTTTAGTATTTACATGCTAATCAGTCAATCGTACAAAGGAAGACCTTGGACTCCAGATAGATTTCAGTAACTTGTCTTGCTCATTCCACAAAATTAAAGCATTGCCCAATAAATGTAACTGAAAGAGGAACAAACTTCAGGAGGTGCATAGGAAGCTGCCTTATACGAGGTCCGGCCATTGGTCCATTTAGCTCAGTACTATCTTCACTGATTGGCAGCAGCTCGCCAGGATTTCAGGCAGGGGTCTTTCCCAGCCCTTCCCTGGACATGTCAGTGTTGAAACTGGGACCTTCTGCATGCAAAAGAGATGCTCTACCACTAATCGGTGGATCTTCCCTAACCAGAGACTGGATTTATATAGGTCATTAGCTAGTTAATAAGGATATGTTCAATGGGTTCGCTGCACAATGGCTCAGAAGTTGTGCATGGCAGGGAGTCGGAGTCAGTGGCCAGACACAAAAGCAGGAAGGGCTCCTGCAGCTTTAATAATTACGTAGAAGAGGGTATGTCGTACATTGTGTGCTAATCTATACCTGGTGCAATTCCCACTTCTACACAACTATTACAGGCGTAGCAGCCCTGTCCTCTCTGGCATCCGACCACCGGGCTTAGTAAGAGAACTCAAGATTTGCATGCAGGAGACCCCATGTTCAATTCTTGGCGCCCCTGCTTTAAAAGGGCTCTGCCAGCATGACTGGGAAGGGGGCCCAGCTGAGGTCTTGCAGACGGTACTGAGCTAATTGGACCCTCAATCTGACTTGCTATAAAGCAGCTCCACCTGTTCATAGGATCTCACTGGACTTCACCGAATTTCTGGCAGTGTTCCCCCTGCCAGGTTTAAAGAATACTGGCATTAAACAAGGCACCTGGGTTTGTGTGATATTTAGTGGCTTGTATTTCTTCCTTTGGAACTCTTGGCTTATTCATTGGCTTGTAGAGGTTCTCTCCGTGTTAAGAGTCCCAGCATAAAGAAATCACATTGCTTGTGAGGCTACTCAGGATCCATTGCCAGGACCATGCTTTCAGTGCCCAATTCTGTATCTCCTCAGCAGATGTGCCCAACACCCTCACAATGCCTTCAAGGGAACAGCAGCTGTATGGTGGGCAGCTGGCAAAGCCGGAGTAATGCTTTTGAGAAGCTTTTATGGCAGGGCACATGTTTTCGTGTGTGGAGGGTCTAATTCAGTGGCGCAGCTTGTCCCCCCCCCAAAAAAAGGGAGGAAAACTCCTCTGTCACAGGGCTCCTGCTCCTCTGTAGAAAGGCAAGTTGCGTAATAACAGTGTACAATACATGGGAACAGAACTTTGTTTCAAAACAATGTTGGGTAAAGAGTTGGCTTTTTCATTTCATTTATTTTACAACATTTTTATATCGCCTAATAACATTCTCAGGGTAGCAAACAATACAGTTTGCTAGTCCATGACCATAATAACCACCACCACCATCAAACTTATAATCACTTAAAATATTAATCAGTAAGTGGTATATAAATGTCTTAAATAATAATAAATTGTTCATTAGAAATAGTAGAGATAATACCACCAGCAGTCAGCCCTATAAAACAGCACTGCAAAGCACTGAAAGATTATTTTTACATATCACAGGAAAATAAAAAGTTTTCCAACTAGCGTTGAAAGGGCCATAAACGTGAGTGCCCATCAAGACTCTCCTGGCAGGGCATTCTTTATGTTTCAGGGGTTTCCCTGCATTCCAAACATGGAAGAGTGTTTTTTGTTTTAATCTCCTGAAACCAGAAATAAAACCTAAGCACTTGGTTTGCTTTTTTAATCTTAGGTATCCAGGGCCATTTAATTCATTCTCAAATGTGTGGTGTACTAAATGATCCATGAGCCATCTTTTATCTTTCATGTTGTGGCTGCTATTTTAATTCATAGGAATTTAGTTAAACCAATCTGGTATTAGACTGGATGATGTCAGGAACATATCTACTACTGTTGGAATTTTCAGACTAATTCATATAGCCTATTTCTGTAACGTGTGCATTCCTGCATGAATTCTCTGCAGCTGTAGTTAGAGCTTGAGTATGTGATTTATTTAGGGCTTGTTCACACATCTGGGTTTATTGCATTGTGCTTATATTCCTTTTGCTTGAGTCTGAGTTAGAATGCTTCAAGAAAGTGGAAGACTTGATGGCAAACTAGATGTGATGTTAAATGTGTGAATGCATTTGTGTCCATGGACTGCTGCCCCCCCCAGATCAAGTAAAACAATAGAATTACTTAACTGACCAATCATGTTGGTTCTGCCCCCCCCAACAAAAATCCTAGCTACGTCCATGCTTGTGTCTTTTAAAAAATGTACTTTCAGTGCAGCAGCTGCAAGAGGGGATCAAGATCAGGACTATGGCATATGAAGAGGGAGAGTTTTACCCTCCTACCATGTCACAATCCTGCTAAAACTCCCTTTTCTCTGATGCTGTTATTTACCGCAGGAGGGAAGCTGCCAGTTGCACCAATGCTAGCCTTCCTCCCAGAGGTTCTGGGAGGGGGAAATTGTATCTGCTTGGACCACAGCATGGGAGGTAAATGCTAAATCTTCCTTGCTGCGCAACACATTTCCAATCCTAACCCCTTCACTGTGGGTATTAATTTCATAGTTGAAAATAGACTTATTAAATGATTAATACAGTCTGCAACCTATTTGGTTTTACCCTGAGGAAATGACTCCATTTTCTTTTAACTTTATCCTTAGCTTTAACATATGATGTGGGTGGGTGGTGGGGAGGCACCTGCTGTAGTTAATTAGTACAAAATTTACAAGGATACGTTCACAGAGTGCTGTTGTACTTAGATCCCGCTTTCCACAGGAATCTCTGGTCAGCCACTGCGAGAACAGGATACTGATCTAGATGGGCCATTGGCCTGATCCAGCACGTTCTTCTTATTTGCACTACAATTTTGGCAATACCCAAGCAAATTACTTTCTGATTTAATTTAGAGATCATAAAGCTAAGCTTAGCCACCAACTTTAGGAATCAATCTGTTACTATCACAGTCAACCTTCTCATCTAATGCAAAAAGAAAACAAAATAGGAGGGATCACACTGGTTTGCTTGAGATATGATGGTAGCATTTCAAAATATATATTGTGTTGGTCTGTTGGCTTTTCAATGGGTTACAGTTCCCATTTTCTGTTTCAGCCACTTGGAGCCAGTGATTACTTGGAAGTAGCTATGCATTTTGACCTAGTCTTTATTCGTCACATACCTGAGTTTACAATGGCAAAAAGGACCCAAGCTCGCCGCTTCATTACTCTTGTTGATACTTTTTATGACAAGAAGGTAAGCGGTCAGTTGGTAAATTCTTACAAGATGAAAGCATCTTGAATTGCTCTGGAAATTATCAGTATAAGATTAATGGGTAATGCAAGTTAAATCTTCTGATTTCTCTCATATTTGCCTGCTGCTTTGGGAAATTGGTTCCACATGAGATGACGGGGTGAACGAGTTACGGGACAATTTAACCCAGATACAGTTTACGTCAGTGGCGTAGCGTGGGGGGTGCCAGGGGTGCCGGCCGCACCGGGCGCAACATCTGGGGGGGGGGCGAGTCCAGAGGGAAGGGACAAGTTCCTTCCTCCGCCGGGCTCCCCGCCGGACTCCAGCCTTGCGCCTAGCGCGCGCGCGCCCCCCGCCGCCGCTGCGGCTGCGCTCCACTCACTGCTCGCAGGAGGAGCAGCCGCTGCAGCAGCGCCGCCACCGACGCCTGGCCGGGCATGGGCAGCCTCCGCACCCCGCCCCCGCCCCCGCCATCCCCTCGGCCCAGCCACAGGTGGCGGCTGCTTCTGCTGACTGGAAGGGAGGAGAGCTCCGAGGGGCCTCAACGCGCCCTGCCCTCCCCAAAACCCTCTGAGAGGAAGCCGGCGGGCGGGCGAGGGTCTCCCGGCAGAAGTGGGCGCCGCTGGCTCCGGCTCTCAGCGCAAGTCTCAGCCGCGGGGGGGGGGGGCGAGGACGGAGCGCGGCTGTAAACCCCCGGACCCGGCCGGGAGGAGGAGAGGCGTTCGCCAAGCCCGGATCTGGAGCGCCTCAGAGCGCAGGCTCCACCTACAGCCCAAGGAGAGGAGGGGGTGGGGAGGCGCCCGAGGGGAGGGGGCTTCGGCTGCCTCGGCCCGCGGGGGCTCCGCAAATAATAAATTTAATAAATTCCTGCTGAGCCTTTGGGGGGGTCCTTGGCTCGCCCCCAGCCCCAGTGGCGTAGCATGGGGGGGTGCAGGGGGGGCGCGCTCGCACTCGAGTGCTAAAATCCACGGGTTAGGGGGCGCAAATTACTTGCCTTGCCCCGGGTGCTGACAACCCACGCTACGCCACTGCTTTAGGTCATAGGTCCTCAACAGGTGGGAATTAAATTTGGTGTGATTTTAATTTGGTGTGTTTTAAATTTCCTGGAATCAAATGGCAATGTCAATCAATTTCATTAGGTGAGCCTGAGTTCCAGCGCTATAAAAGAAGAACGAAACATTCTCTCTTGTTTTCTCCAAACCAGGACACATAGATAAAACATTGCTGCTCACCAAATCCTATCCCTGAAAATCTGCAACTCCAAGGTGGAGTTTAAGATAGCTTTAGATATTAGAAAATTGGTATATTCTGCCCCATGCCCCCACCAACTCTCCTGAGTCAAATAATATCTTTCCAAGAGAAATGATCATGATTCTTTTTTCATGATTGGTAAAAAGTCACATCATGTTTTGCAAGCCAAACAATAGTTAAGTTGAAATTATCCACAAAGTTTTGTTTGCTGCTATAATTCCAGGGTACAGATGTGCTTTGTTTTCATCTTATTTCACCTAGAGTCCCAGACATGATTCGTTATAAGTGAACAGACGAGTAAAGTGTTAATGGGTTTGCCCCAAAGTGATAATAATTTTAGAAGAAACAGCCACTCTTGGTTTTAGTCTGAGTTGTGGGACCTCTAATGAAATAGTAATGATAAATGCAGCACTTAGCTTGGATTTACAAAGGTTTCAATCATGGGAGCAAAATCAGCAGCATTAAAACAACTAAAAAAGGCTCTTTATATTTAAGCTGATGTTTTAAAAAGTAATGGAAGACATTAAGCTTCACCCTATGTGTGATTATAGCCACGCACTTAAATATTTATGCAATCAGGAAATATCGATTGAGATTAAAAACCTTTTTCAAGAATGTCCTGGCAAAGAAATTCACACAAAAAAACCCACCTTTAGTTCAGCAAGATAGTTGGGACTTATCCAGACAATCTTATCTTTGTTTAGTAAATGACTTAGATGCAGCTCACTTTTTCTGGTGGATCCAGATGTCTTTTCTCAAAACTCCTGCATTTTCCTCACAGTCAAGCAACAATATTTTCTCACTGGACATTATGGTGAGCCACACACACAAGTATGTTATCTCACCTTGCCCATTGCAGTTGTAAGTATTATTCTAAAAGTGTCACAAGCCCTGTTAGATACTGGCTGTATTTAAAGCTGGGAGAGTGCTTGTTCTTTCTTCACTGGACAATTGCCCTATCATAGATACCAACAGTTTAAAATATACATTGGCACCTGCAGCTTGTGAAATGGCAGGCTGTGTACTAGAGGTTCTCAACTTTATTAACTTTATCCTCTTTTTAAAAAGGATGCTAAAACTTAAAGGCTGACAACTAGCAACTCACATTAAATGTATTTTAGACCATAACCCCTATTGGCCCCAGGCAGCAGACCATCTAGAGGGCACCAGGTTGGGGAAGTCTGCTCTAGCACTTGTAGAACAAACATCATGAAGCAAAATGTGCAGGTACCATTCCAGGAATGGTTTGGTGGCAAAGGAGCCTCCTCCCACCTTTCACTGTTTTTAGTCAGTGAGTAAAGTCACAGCTGTGATTGAGGAGTGCTATGGCGAAATTTAGAATTGCACACATCAAAGACGCCAAAATGACTTCAGAATTACTCCAGGCAGTGTAGAAGGAAATTCCTGGTTCACTTTGAAACTGTGTTTTGGTCTTCCTTGAAGTATGTGTGCGTGGTTCTATATTGTTCTCTTGACTCAGAAAATGGTCCTTTTGAAGCTGACAAAAATTCCCTGGTAGAGAAGTGACAATTGTCTAGAAAGAGGAAAAAAGAGAAATACAAAACTGTAATGTTGTGGTGGCTAACTATAGTATTTCCACCCAAAAGCAAAAGGTAGTAGCAAAATTTATTCTTTCTAACACAGGTTTCATGCCATGCCAAAAGATGTATTATTTTGTATTTAACATTTCAAAATTCCATGAGTTACACTTGGCTTTTCATATTTTCTGGTGATGCATCTATAAGCATTAACGTTGTTTCAAAAAATATAATGACAATAAATCACCAATTAAATTTGTCACAACTGAATTTAATTCATCTAACAAAGCACAACCAATTAGTGGCCTTATTTCAGTTCATTTCTGCCCTGCCTTCCATTGTGGCACAGAGTTTCTATATTGTTTTACTACAAAAGGAAAGTAGCTTATTGCATGATAATGTTCAATGAGCATAAGTATTTTAAATTGTGTGTGTGTGTGTGTGTGTGTGTGTGTGTGAGAGAGAGAGAGAGAGAGAGAGAGAGAGAGAGATTGTAAGCTAAATGCTGTACAAAACCTAATGCTGGCTTACATTCTAACGAATAGTAGAAGAAAACAATGGCTTACATTTTGATTTTGAGGATATTTACTACATATAGGTTTTGATGGTAAGATGCTATACCCAATGACTATGTAAAAGAACTAAAGTTAGTGGTGATTGTGTTAGAATGGCTCATTTTTTATAAATGGGTTTATAGTTAGTGTTTGTGAAGTGAAGAAGGAATGATGGTACAGTACAAGCCACTTGCATTCTGCATTCTTATGGAGAGCTACTTATGCTTGGCAAAATCAGAAATCATTTCAGTTGTTGTCTATATCAAAATTGCTACTTACACCATACAAAATGAAAACATGGTGGATTTTACAAAATTCAAATGGAGAAATAGGAGCCATATGTGATAGCACCTACAGCTTTTTCACTCTCTTCCAGGTGCGTATTGTTTGCTCTGCATCAGCACCACTCCAAAGCATATTTATTCAAGAATCCCATGATGGTGGATTGGACGAAAGTAGGGTAATGATGGACGATTTGGGGTTGAGCCAGGTAAGCACTATGACCATTAGAGCCTTTGTTGCAGGAGAGCATAATTGGTTTTGGTCTGAGTGGTGGTGCTAGGGGGGCAGTGAGCAGCAAAAGCATTTAACCGGTCATTCTGTAGCTTTCTGGCAGGATCAACGTTGCACCTTTTCTCCTATTCCAACTTAAAGCAATGCTATTCATAAATGGTTTGAACCAATCCATTTTAGCGTAATTCTAGAGATACTTCTAATCTTTTACTCAGCATGTGTTAATATATTATTAGAAATATTGGGTCATGCTGCTGCTTTAATACATGTTCTTCAGATTTAGTGCAACTACATTTAGCTTTGTACATTGCACTTGTATCATCATCATCATCATCATCATCATCCCACCTTTTTCCTGGACTGGAACTCAAGGCGCCTTATTTTACTTGAGCCACCATGTTGGGAATCTGTTTATTGTCTAATAGGTGTGTTATAAGTGTCTCTTTCACTCCAGGTTTACAAAGGAGTGAGCTGATAAATGCTGCTTCCCAAAACTGATTTGCACAGGATTTGTAATTAACTAACTTTTACTCAGAGTAGACCCATTGGAATTAATGAGCCTAAGTTGCTGTTGTTTAGTCGTGTCCGACTCTTCGTGACCCCATGGATCAGAGCACGTTAGTCATGGTCATTAAGCAATTACTCTGAGTAATTGTTGGTTGAATACAACCCAGAATACAAGAATCTATTGCTTGCATTTCTGCATTATAGATTATATTTCTATTCTTACATTATATAGTTTATGAATACTAATACCTGACAGAAAGTTAAATCAGAAGTTAGAAGCCTCAAGTAATTTTATCTATGGCAAATAGTTTCCAGTGTTTATCCAGTAAAAATAGGTTTCCTAATAAGTACTCTTTTCTAATAATGTCTCCCTTTTATATCTTATAAAGAAATATGGTGGTTCTGAAAAGTAATTTAAGGGTTGCAGCTTAGTCCTCTTGTTGCTGATCTTTCAGTGTATGCTGTTAATGCACAGTAGACTCACACAGTTTTCTATCTTAGTGCCATTCACCTTGGTGGGGGAAAGCATAATGTTTTCACAATATGAGCCAACACACATTTTAAAAGCCTTGTCCTAGCATGTTATATACTTGAGAAAACTTGCTTTCATTTTAGTCCTGCTGTGAGAGGAAATTCAAAGAAAGTGAGAGGAATGTTTTGTGAACCCAGTCTGTTAACTCCTAACTGATAAGGATAAAAAACAACAACACATTACTGAATATATGATAAACACAAGTGTCTCTGAAAGATCTCTATCATATAAAAATGTTGTACAAAACTGTGATGTGATGCACAAATGGGGGTAGGTGGGAATGGAAAGAGATTCATCCTCACGGTACATTGGCCCCTGCAGGGCCAGCTGTGTTATGGTGATATTTAAACCTAATATTTTGTTGTGGCTTTACCACTGGCAAAGGAAGATATAGGTTAATTGTTATCATAGAACAAGTGTGTGCTTTTCAATTAGCCTCTATATTTGGGGTGGAGAATCAGATGTTATTGAACTGCAACTTACAACATGTCCGACCACTGGCCATGCTGGCTGGGACTGAAGGGAGATGGAGTCCACCAACATCTGGAGGGCCATTGGTTCCCTATCCCTACGAGGGCATCAAACCTGCCACTGCAGACAGTAAAAAAAAAAGTTACATGGGCAATACCATTTTATTGCACAAAGACTGACACATGGAGTCATCCAAATAGCCTTTATCTGTGTAGACGAAAGCATGTGTGCCATTCAATGTAAGCAGTGTGTGTGTGTTTTACTATTATCAACCACAGAAAACAGTCCCAGTCCCTACTCTTGGAATAAATATTTTTAAAGCCTCTCAAACTTCTGTCTAACTGGAAAATGTTTATGTGCATGTAATAAAGTGTGTGTTTTAGAGTTAGCTAGCTGAATTGTGCCTGTGTTTCACAAACATGTAACCCAGAGACCTGCAATACCACCAAAAAAATATTGCACAGAAGCACAGCCAAAAGCAGCAACTGCAAGGTGCTGCTCCCTGTATTCTTTTTTCAATATTTAAGAATAGTTTTGTTCCACAAAAGCATGATTGCAGAAGAAAGGGAGCTTGATAGTTATGAATTGCACACAAACATGGGGGGGGGTGAGGTGAGCGGACGGACTGTGACTATGTGGACTCAGGCCACACTGCAAGTTTGAGAAGTCTTTCATTTTCTGGTTTCTTTGTAATGCTTCCTGCATTTTAAAGAATTGTTCTTTGCTTCCATCTCTCTCTAGGATTCAGCTCAAGGACTTTCAATGTTCACGGGAGAGGAGGAGATTTTTGCCCTTCAGCGTACCATCTCACGGCTGACTGAAATGCAGACTGAGCAGTACTGGAAGGAGGGGGACAGGAGCAACCAACCGCAGTTGCGAAAAGACTAGCAAAACACAAATAGTAGTTGTAAAGAAGAAGAGTGCTAACTCAATGCAAAATTATTTTTAACAGGCACGCTGCCCAATTTTGCACTTTACTTCCTAAACATTTGCCTTTTTATTTGTTAACAAGGACAGCTTGCATGCTGGAATGCTGGTGGGAACAGTTTTATGCCTGTGTGTGGAAGTCCAGCCTAACATGAAATTTTTCCTGACCAAGAATCCAAATCTACAAATTATGTGGAAAGGAGTGGCACATACAGTTTATGGCCTGCATTTGTATATCATACTTGAAAAACTACACCTTGAACAAATGGTAGGCTCAAACCAGGCAAATTAAGTACATATTATTGTATCCGCCTACCTCTAGTATTTCGGTTACAGATAACTGCAGCTTCAGTACCCTTGATTTTTTTTTTAATTATTCTGGGCAGCAACTGAAAAAAATCAGTTTCTCATTTTACTAAGTACAAAATCACATAATTGCATCTTGGTAGCTCTGCCATTCTAAATACATTTCTTATTTCTGCTTGCCTACTACCACGGTAGACTTTTTAATGTTATTCCATTGCCTATATGTGTGACCCCCTGTCTCAAATTCTTCTGATAGGGAGGGTGCAAAGAGAAAATAAAAGTGGAATTATAGAACCAAGAGTAAAAAATGCCATTAAGTGGATAAGTATCAAAGCAAAAGTGAACTCACTGTATAGGCAGACCAGATAGGACAATCTTACAAGATTTGAGGTGAACTTTGTACTGGTAGTGAAAATGGACTTTATAATGGAATTTGACTAAGTTGTCCTCCTTCCCTCCTGATGCTGAGGATTTTTTCAAGCAGCTATGTACAAGACAGTAAGTGCAAATCTACACACACTCACCCACCACCACAATGCAGTGATCCTTCTACACCAGATTGCCACCATTGCCATATGTAACATTGGTGGATCATGCTCTTTCACTGAACAGCATAAGAGAAAGCAATGCAAACACAGAAACATCTCTTAGCAGTTCAACCACCCATCAGTCATGATATTGTTTTACTAATAAGACCGCCCACATTGTTCATTTAGGGAAGGTACCAGTCAATGAATGGTGTTGGTAGCATAACTCTTGGATACCCAATGTACACCACAAACAATGCACAGTCTGGCATCCTCAAAGGCACACTTCGCAGTGCAGACCACCATGGTACAGTAAGCAGGAGCACCAAAACTTATGCACAGAAAGAGAAACCAACATTCCTTCCATAATAGTTGCCCATGGGCTACTTGAGAAATCAAATCCACTAGGAAAAAATACTTCCAGACAGGCAATACAAACAGTACAACCACTTTTGTTTGAAGGACACAAGTTGTTTTCAAGGTAGAAAGCTGTATGACAAGGAAAAGGAGAAAAGGGATTATATTGTGGGTGCTCTGCTAGCAAGAATGACATCTGCCACAAAAAGCGGTGGGGGGACGGGACTGAACTAGAAACCATCCTTCCCACCTCATAGACCTGTTTTCTATCCTCACAGCCACAGGAACAGAAAGACGTATGGTGAGGTCTTTGTCATCTTCCAGAGGCAAAGGTCACAATATAACTCCAGCCATATTGACCAAGATTGACAAGGTTTTATATGGACACACATATAAAACACATAAACACACATTGTGTTGGTCCTGATCCTAAAGGCAGCTGAGCTGAGCTAAGTTACAGTACTTTTACTAAACTTCATAAGGCTGCCTCTTAGGCAATGGGGAATAACCTTGTTTCTTCACCTCTTGGAAGGTTTCCTGTAGAGAGCCAAGTGAGACACAGGGACAGTAATGAGTAATAGTTAGCAACTTCATAAATGTCTGTAGGCAACCAAACCAAACTAGAATATTTATTTTACTTCTTGAAAATTGTATACTACAAATACCTGCAAAAGCCCTTCCAAGATGCCAAAGGACAAGGTGTAAGAAATAGCTGAATGTGGAAGATTATTGCCGTAATTGTAAAATCCATTTTATGGGTATAAGCCTTGTGGTACACAAAGTGTAAATAAAAATGTCAATTATATTTAAAGCCTACTACCAGCATCTAGTTGCAATATCATAATATTTCAAGGGAAAGGGTGTGGCAATTTAATATACTCCTCCTCCGCCTCTTCTCCCCATTAACCTCTATTCCGTGAACCCTCTGGAGCAGATTTTGAGGATGTGCTGTAAGGTGGAGAAGAGTTCCACTGTGCAGGTGGACGTCTGCTGAACTCGTGGAATAGCGACATTGGATTACAGCCCTAAGAAGTAAGCCCCACTGAATTTGCTTGCAGTCAACTGAATACAAATGCACAGGACTGAAATGTTAGCTATGATTTTGCCGCAGAAGGCGACAACTATGCTGTCGTATTATGGATATGTGTGCATATGCAAACCACCCAAAAGAATCAACCCTAAGTAAAGAATGAGCCCATAAATATCCATATTAAAATTGTCCAGGGGTTATTATTAAACACCAGGTATTATTTCAATTTATCAATGTTTCTATTAGAAAAGACTGGTGGTAACTTCCATTCCAATATACTAAAAATAGATGACAGCCTCTTGCTCTCACAGTGGATACCTACGGGAAACCCACAACCAAGGCCTGAGCCCAACAGCACTCTCCCTGCTTGTAATTCCCAGCAAGTGGTATTCAGAGGCACACTTGAAATAGCACATCCTGGCTAGAAGCCATTTATAACCTTATCTTCCATGAACCTGTCTAATCCCCCTTTAAAGTCTATCCAAAATGGTATGTCCTTAGCCATTGGTCATGCTTGCTGATGGGAGTTGTAGTTCAGCCACATCCAGAGATCAAAGGTTCCCCACACCTGCCAGGGAGGCTACCACCATGGGGAAAAGGGGGAAAAGATCTGTCTACATTATAGCATTGGGTCCTATGGGTTGATGTCCAAGCCTTTGCTTCCTACAATGTTTTCGAAAGTCCTAGCAATGAACATAACACTCCTGAGAGAAGGAAATGTGCATCTGTCAACCATCAGTGGATAGTTGATGGACTATGCTGAAATGGCAAAATTAACTGGGAAGCTCAGGAATCAAGAAGACAAGAACTTTAAAAAAGAATGGGAAAAGTTAATAACTTATAGAAAAGATCATTGTAAGCAGGTTAAAACATTGGCAGGATTTTAAACACACTTGTAGTGTAACAGAATGTATGAATAATTTAGAAAGATTAAAAAAATGGGAAAGTATTGATATGCAGTGGAGAATAGGATCAATAGGACCCATGGAAGGGATGGGGGAAGTCAGGAGATTCAGAGTAATCTCGATATCCGGATTCTGAATTGGTTTTGTTGTATGTTTATATTTTTGAAAATCAAATGGAAAAAAAATTCAAAAGAAATTGTGCATCTGTAGGTGCAGCTCAATTTTCTACAATATTGTTGGTAGCCCAAAAAATGAAAAGATTTTGCTAGAAAAACAATTGGGGGAAAGAGAATAAATCAGTAACCATGCTCTCCTCTACCCCCAGAAAACAAAAACTGACACTGGGAAAATTTAATGATGCTCTTTGTCACTAATCTCCCAGTCATGAGAAACAAAAAGTTATGAAATGGGCAGGAGCTACAAACAGGAAATATTTAATAAAGGTTCAAGAGAACTGAAAACAGTTATTTGCTTGTCTGCACTGGATTTTATTGCCCTGCAAGTGTATTTTATTGCCCTGAAAAACATTTTTTAAAAAAGAAGGCGCAGCCTGTAAAAAAAGAGTGAACAATGGATGGCAATTCCAGGAAAAAGGGGTGGTGGGGAAGCAATCATCTTCAGGTGAAAAGAACTTCAGAAATTTGAATTCTTTGATACCAGAATAGATTATGCCATCTTCATTCTGTTATATTCCAGCCACAACCTGTTTTGTCACTCAGGTACATGCCAATCATATTTATTTATGATAACAAAAAATAACTGCAGTTATAGTTGTGTGATACAGGGCACTGGGATAACACATTCCCCTCAGTTAATGATCCCATTAAAATAATAAAGTTGCATCTCAATATAATGTTCTGAAATTGATATTGTTACTTGTAGCTGAAAGCTGTGAATTTGGTGTCTGTTCCTGAATGCAGTTTTAAGAAAACACCAGAAGCACAGACTCCATATGTCAGCATCTAGCACCACCAAGTGTTCAACTCAGTTTGTCTGCAGCAGAGCTCAAGAAAACACATGTGTCCTTTTTTCTGTGCACCATCGCAAGGCACAATCTGTGATGCTAGAAGCCTCCTATTGCTTTTAAATAGGCCCACCCAAGAGCATCTTGGAGGACAGTACTCTGTTTGAAGAGCTGCCATGTGACCAGGAATTTGCCCATCAACAGCTCGCACCAAGACACCAAACTCTGCAAGCACATGGGTCTCTAAGTAAGTTCTCCTCACCATGTTGAGATGTATCAGAAATAGCTATTACAGTGGTACCTCGGGTTAAGAACTTAATTCATTCTGGAGGTCCATTCTTAACCTGAAACTATTCTTAACCTGAAGCACCACTTTAGCTAATGGGGCCTTCTGCTGCCGCTGCGCGATTTCTGTTCCCATCCTGAGGTAAAGTTCTTAACCCGAGGTACTTTTTCTGGGTTAGCAGAGTCTGTAACCTGAAGCGTCTGTAACCCGAGGTACCACTGTATTTCTAAACTTGTGTCTGAATGTAGGCAAATTTTTATTCCCCTCTGTCCTCCTTTTTTGTACTTGTAATGCTTTCTCACTTTTTATATTAACACATAGTAGCCACAGTTAGCCTTCCACAGTTAGCCCTCAATATTATTTTTCTTCACCCACCTGAGGTGCACACATTTTAGGAGAATGGTGACGTTCCTTTCATCAGGCTTTTGAAGGTGACGAAGCATAATCTGCCTGACATTAGTTCGTAGGGGATCCTCTGCTATATTCTGTTTTGTTTTTTTTTATTAATGTTTCCATCAGTTTTAGAACATATATTGATGTGTCTCAGTGGGCAAGAGTCAACTAAGTTGCTGCAGGCGCAGAATGAGTTCTGCACAGTGAGACTCTCCCCTCCACATGCCCCATGTCCCCCCTAAATCTGCTCTGGGGGGTTGAGGGGAAACATAGAACAGGTTTAGGGGGCGAACAGGAAGAGGAGAGGGTGGGCCTCACTTCCTGTGTGCTTACCCCACTTAGCATGATGTTGAATTCCACCTATTAAGTTCTGCATGACCCTGCAACCGTACAGTGAAGGGTAACAAAGTAATACCTAAATAAATAAAATTATTGTCCCAGCTCTGTTTATTGTTCATCAGGGATCAGCCACTGCCAACTTTCCCGCTCTTGTGCTGTCTGAAAGAAAAAAAAGATGTTCAAAAATTCTTAAATGGGTTAGAACCAAAATGCTATGTTCTAGAACTGTAATTGTCATTGAAAATGTTGTTGTCATTAAAATCCTCAAACAATGAAGGAAGGGGGCTGCCAATGGCTGCAAGTCAGGATGGCCATATACTACCACCAAGATCAGAGGTGCCATGTCTCTGAATCCCAGGTACTGGGGAACAGCAGCAGGAGAGAGGAGACCTCACTCTCATGTCCTGCTTGTGGGTTTCCCAAAGGCATGAGATTGGTCACGGTGGGAAACAGAATGCTGGATTCGGCTCGTAGTCAGATCCAACATGACTCTTCATACACTCTTAAAAGATTGCTCTTTTCTTGTTTTTAGAAAGGTGGTCACCAGTTGATCATAAAACAACAATTTGTTTATTATTCCCTGGAACTCAAGGCAGCATACCCAGACTCTCTAAGTGTTGCTATTTTCCAGGGACAGCCCCAGATTTATGGAAGCTGTCCCGGTTACTGATGTGATCCCAGAATGTCCCACTTTTCCTTAGGATTTTCATCGGGAAAAATGTTGGAGGGTATGGAGTTATGCAACCCCTGAGTCATCTGAAGGCAGCCCTATATAGGGAAGCTTTTTATGTTTAATGTTTTATAATGTTTTTATATATGTTGGAAGGCACCCAGAGTGGCTGGGGCAACCCAGTCAGATGGGTGGGGCATAATAATAATAATAATAATAATAATAATAATAATAATAATAATAATAATAGTAGTGGTGGCATGGGACATCCCTATTTTCATCAGAGAAATGTTGGAGGATATGCATACTTTTGAGTTTCGAAGTGGCCCTCCGCTGGCACTGAGAGGACTTAGATCTGCCTGGCTTCAGCAAGATTGCTGCAATCAGCCTTCAGGCCACGCCCTGGGACCATTATGGACAAATATATTCTACGAATGTGTGAGTTAATTAATTAATCTATTTGTCTGGAGAACTGCAAGATTATGGTTGTGAAAATTCTACATTTGCTTGCTGGACGTTCAAGACCTAGAATTTGACTGCGAGTTTGACTGCAGCCACAAGATGGCAGAATATAATCACTGTTATTCAGGGAACAAGTGCTTCTGATTCAGTGTATGAGAGAGAGAGTTGGTTGTATCTTCATTTCACTGTGATGTTTAAGGGACCGCATGTCTAACTGGCTCAGATAGTCTGAAAAATAATCATAGAGTATCTTTACGTTAAGAATCTACCAGTGTAAATGCAGGAGCCTTGTTGGGTAAGATAATCACAGTTGATGGGGTAGCTTTTATGAGAATTCCCCTTAGGACTGAATACATTGGGGGTCCATAAGAACTCGTGCTAAATAAATGTGGAATAAACGGGATGTCTGGAGGAGCTCCTAGACCCCCTGGGGTCCATCCCCTCCCCATACACACACACTTTTGGCACTGTCAGATTTTAGGTGTTTCTAACATTTTACTGGGACGCGGATGGCGCTGTGGGTAAGAGCCTCAGTGCCTAGGGCTTGCCGATCGAAAGGTCGGCGGTTCGAATCCCCGCGGCGGGGTGCACTCCCATTGCTCAGTCCCAGCGCCTGCCAACCTAGCAGTTCGAAAGCACCCCCGGGTGCAAGTAGATAAATAGGGACCGCTTACTGCCGGGAAGGTAAACAGTGTTTCCGTGTGCTGCGCTGGCTCGCCAGATGCAGCTTGTCACGCTGGCCACATGACCCAGAAGTGTCTCCGGAC